CTTCCAGGGCACCATTCCCTTCTGCTCCCTTGATGCTTGCGAGTGCCAGAAGCATGTGCTGTCCCGGGAAGAGCTCACCCCTCCCTGTTAACCACTCAGTGGTGGTGGGCACCATAAGGATGGTGGCTGGGCGTGGCACTTTTTCCCCCAAACCAAGGGTACTACACTGAAAAGCTTAAAAAAAGCTATTGTAATTTCATGATCTTAGTCACATCTGAGAAGTTTCTAGGTCGTTCTGCCTGTGGGCCACATCCAGGTGCTCATCCGTTTTCCACAGAAACTTGCATGAATAGCTTCTTCAGCTTTGGTTTTCTTTCTTTCTCGTTCGGCTTGTAGATGGTCTGGAAGGTAGATGTATAGAAAGGTGTTCATACTGCTGTGACTGCAGAATGTGCAGAGGAGCTCTTTGCATGTTAGTACGTTGTATTTGGTCCCAAGTACTAGCGACCTTCTAAAGTGTCAGTAACCTGGGAGACAGTATGTTTTGATTAGAGTTTCAGAGCTCACATATAATTCCATAATTTCGATAGCCTTGATGCCACAACATATAGGTATTCAAATGTTAACTATGAAAATGTTCAATCTACAGATCTACAACAAGTAGTTTTCCATCTACTACATATTACTGATACTTGATACCCAACCATACATCATCATGGTGGTTGTTTCACAGGCACATTTTTTGTGTAGATGATACATGCTTATTCACTTCTTAAGAAGAAGACAGGAAGAGAACATGCTTTGTGGAGAGTATACTGATTCTGAAAGATAAGAAGATAAAAGATAAGAAAAACTTGTGCAGAGAGTAAAAAAAATAGCCTAGAAAAACAAGCTTAGCGTGTATACATGGAAGATGTTGTGGATTTGCTGTATGTTGCATTTTATTTGCAACTAAACTTCAGCACTAGTCGTTACATGCTGGGTGTCAAATTCCCGCCTGCAATTTAAAGGAACTTCAATAATTGTCACTTCCTGCCTTTAACAGTTGTATGTTTTTCCTCAACTTACTATGTTTCACTCTAGATGCAGTTTCACTGTATTCGTTAACTAAAATGATTAGTTTGGATAATGGTGTGTCTTTTTTGATAGAAGAGCAAACATTCTCGTCTTTTAAATTAAATGTTTGTTCGCATAGCAGGTTTGGGATAGGTAGGTCTTCATGAAGAAACAGGTATTTCTTGTGTTCCATGTGGTGTAGAATGTACAGGATTTGTATCATATAGCATGTTGTATTGAAATATTGCCTAAAAATGTTTTCTGCCTTACCTATGCATTCGTTGGAAGAAGAATTAAGGTATCTGGAATAGGTTTTTTTTTGTGAGTAGAGCTGCAGTGAAAATACACATTTCTTGGTATGAGAAAGCTGAAATGCAATTGTCAAAGGTCCAAGTAAAAAAACAGTTTATAAGAAGTCATTCAAATTTTGCAGTTGGTTTTGATGTCTTTTTTTTGAACTTGCACAGCTATGTGGCATGCACGTTGAACGGCTACCTGCTGTCTGATGTTGGGCAACATCTGGCAGTTGAGAATGCTGGTTAATTGATTGCAGTAAACCTGACGGGCACGCTTGGCTTGTGCAGTTAGTTGGAACTCAGAGCTGGAATATTCATTCAGTGTCTTTGGTTCATGTTTTTTGTTTTGTTTTGTTTCTGTTTTGCAAGCCCAGAGCCCTGAAAACAGCTTTATGCAACTGAGGCTTTCAAGTTATTTCATTTATTGCAAAGCTTATCAGATACTATTTAAAGAAATTAAATAACCGTTACATCTTATCTAGAACAAAAGCCTGGAAATACTTTTTTTTTTGGTGCATGAATTATATATCAGCTTAAAAGTAAACTAACTTTTTGACATTTTTGTGTATAGGAGGAAGAAATTCCTTACCTATGACAAATCACTGTGAACCACAATTGTTCATTGAGTTTTGTTGGTTTTTTTTTTTTTAAATGTGTTGAGATCTTCAAGTGAAAATTAACATGAGAGTGCAGAATGTTACTGCACAAAGGTTGATTTGGAATAAATTTTGACCACTGTGCATTGCTTCTTGTTTGCATCACAACACCGTTTCCAGTAAATTTTTAAATTTTTGCTTTTTCTTAATAGCTTGAAGCTGGAATGGTTAGTAATGACTGCATGAGGATCTCTGGGCTAGTATGTGGCTGTGCACATCATACCTATGTTTTTGAGGATGACTACCGTCAGTTGTGTCTCGAGATCTAACCCCTGTACAAAATGCGTATCAGAAGTCACCCAAAGAAGAAGTGACTCTATGGGGAAAATATTCTAAGACATAGAGGGTTTCCTGACAGTTGTTCCTGCTGCTGGTGCGCTGTTGAATTGAGAGGTCTTTTCAGGCTTAAATAGCTTATACATGGTGAGATCCTCAGTCTGCAAGTATTCTAACTTTTCTGAGCTTGAAAGCAACTTGGCCTACAAAGGGAAAGAAACCTGTTCAAATGTAGGTTTTTTCCGACCTCCTGGTATTCCTTGAACTTGTATCTTTTTGGGGCCACGTTGCAGCCCACTCATAAAGTACTGCTATTGTAACTCCATGTTCACACCGCTGTCATTCGTTGCCCCACACCAATGATGAGAGTGAGGGAATTTGTCAGTCTAATGCAAGACATTGTTGAAGAAATGAGAAGCACTGACATTGCTCAGTTAGTGCCCCAGGTTAGGAAGATTAGTTACTATAATTCTTAGATCATTATAGTGTTGTACAGGAAGCAGTTCCTTGTTTGCAAAGCAGCCACATCTTTTGCATAAAAGCAGCTATAAATATATCTAGAATGCAGCCCCAAGAGTCCCTTCTCCTTGTTTTTGTTCAAGGGTCGTTTTATGCAGGCAGCTAGGCAATGACGGGTTTAAAAAGTAAATCTTCTTGGAGAGGCAGATTGAGCCTCACAGTTAGATGGCTTTCAGCTGCAAGCGGATGTGATAATGGAGTGTGGGTTGTGTCTTCCCCTTTTGGTTGCAGAATCAGTGGACCTGGCTTGTTAAACGCTTATTTAAGGAAGATGGGAAGACTGGGCTAGATAATTATAAATCAATTATGCCATCCCAAGTTGTTTTGACTTAAAGGGTAAAATTTTCATTAATTACTTTGATACAGCAGCTACAATAGTTTGCTTTAACAAAAGTAATGATACAAAAGAATGAGAGCTTGTAACTCTACAATACAGCTTCTCCTTGCTCTTACATACAGATCTGGTTTTAGGCTAGAAAGGTACTCTACGTTCAGCTCTGATTAGTAACATCTCAGGCTGCGTATTTTATAGGCCAGCATGAGAGGAACTGTTATTCAATGTCCGTGTTTGAACAAACATTGCAAAGTTTGATTCCCAGTGCAGCTGTAAATATTTCATTTAAGTGCAGATCTCTGTGCAGCCTGCATAATTTAACTATGTCAGATAATGAAAATTATATTTATGTATTAAGGTACATCTCCTTTTTTTTCTGGACTTCCAGCAGTTATTTCTGATCTATGGTTTATGTATTGTTGATTTGTCTTTAATTTTTTCTGCACTGTGTGTTTTACAATTATCTCTTCCAGCTATTTTCATTGTGACTGGAAAGAAGCATGTGTAATATGCTTTATGCTTTACCTGAAAGTCTAATGCTTTAGTTGAGTTGCACGAAAAATGTATAATTTTCTGAAGTAAGTTACTCCTATATTCATGCATTGTAATTTGGCAATTGTGTACTTTTCTTTGCAATAATTCTAACATGACTGATAATTATTTTTTACAATTCAAGTAATTGAAGACATTATTAATTACGTAAAATGCGTACACTTTCATTTCATGAACTGTGGTAGGTTAAGAATTATATTTAACTGTGAAACTTCCTGAACGTGGCAGGTGGCACGCAGATGGGCGATGCAGATACAGTCTAAAAATGGCAAGTTGCTTGAGCAGTGACTTGAGAGTAGGTAAATGGAAATGGGTCAGTCTTAGGGTGTATGGGATCATCTTTAGGCAGGAAGAGAAAAGTAGACATTAAATTAACATGGTTTTTCTGCTTTGTACAATGAAACACCTTGAAGTTAGACTCACTGTTCCTGTGACAGCTACGTGGCGCTGAGCCCTTGGTATCTGTGCGATGTCCTTTTAATATTGCTGTACGATAGCCAGGCTCAAAAGCTGCTTGTGCTATAGGAATGACAGCGGGCACCAAGCAGCTCTGTGCCCATATGTGTAAATACGTGAGAGTGACATGTCCCCTGGGGCAGAATGATTAGAAGGTCAAGTTGAGGTTCGAATCCTGAGCTAACTCCTTTCTAGTAGATGTCTGTGGGTGTCTTAATACATACGGACTTTCTTAAACAGGATATTTACCATCTACTGCAGAAGTACGGTGTCGGGAGATGTGAGGTATGAAACCACAATTAAGAGGCTTAACAGTATGGATCTCCTCCAGCTTTTAAGCTGCATCTATTCTAAATAGTTTGCTCTTGCTCAGAGACAGCCTACACGCTTGCAGCTCCATCCTGTCTCTCAGCCACAGTCAGTCCCGTAGACTATTGATCACTTTTCAGTTTTGTTTATCCATGTTCTACCCAGCCAATGTGTTTTCATCTCTAGGGGACTAAACCTTGGCAAAAGTATGTTCTGTTTACTTGGTAGTAGCATGGTTTTGACATTAGTACTTAGGTTGTCTGAGGTGCTTTGAAGTTCCTTGCTCTAGCTGACTTACCGCGTACTCTTTGATCGGTTCTTTCCTAGATCAGCCCTATCTCTGGTTTCTCCTAACTCGCTAGAGTGCAAGAAGACTTTGATACAAAATTGAAAATGGAGGTTGAGTTAAAGCATCTCCCAGTTTGTCTCGGGGGGGACATCACAGTCAGCAGTTCCAATAATGCTGACAGAAAAAAAAAATAATCGTTGAATTCAAAGGGACAAGAAAGCTGTCCGTCTGTGCGATTAAAAAGCAGTGCTGTTGTAGGCAATTAGGAGTGAACTCTGTGGTAAATAATTACATTCAGCATATGGGTTTTTCTCTTCCAGAACACCAGCTCAGTAACTGTGCCAGAAACACTGTTGTTTGTTTCAACCCTTGATGGAAGTTTGCATGCTGTCAGCAAGAGGACGGGAGCAATCAAGTGGACTTTAAAAGAAGGTGAGCAGGAGCTGTCCTGGTGCCCTCTACTCAGTAATAGTAATAGCAACTGATAATCCAAACTGTTGTGCGGCCTGGTAAATACTTTCTTTTCTTTCTTAATTTTGATCAGGAATTAAACTACAATGTTTGTGGAGTCACATTCATCTTCATATTTGTACTTGCAGATCTTTTCCAGGTTTATGGATTTGGGGTTTTTTTTCCAGAATGTTTAAGCCGTAGTGGTGTAATTGGCAGGTATCGTGTTTATGGGAAGGAGTGCAACATAAGCGAGCACAGAATGGAACAGATGTCAAATGAGAGCGTCAGCTGGTGGCAAAGGGCTTGCATGATGCTGTCTCTGGAATACCCTGCATTCACTGTTGCAGTGGATATCATGCACACCTTGGGTCTTTTTTTTTCTGTAATAGATGTTTAGGAACAGCACAGTTTGTTAAAGAAAAGAACTACACTTGTATGAAGAATTTAACATTGCTCAGTGACTGGAAGTGATTTTGTAATTTTAATTACTGAGCAGCTCTTTCCGTCTTCATGAAAAATTCAATATTTAATACGAATTTGTTTTCGTGAGACTCTGACTATGTATGGTAGGAGAGATAGTAGCACTTTCTCTTCATTCTGGCAATAAATTAGAAAGCAGGTCAACTGGAAAGGAGTCACAGTCATTGCATCATTCTGTCCTCTATTTTTAAACCTGATGTCAGTTTAGTAGGTGAGCTGAAGTGGTAGGAAATGGATTGGGCATGTCTGATGTCTGCAGTACAAACCGGTTGCTCTTATTTGTGAATCCCTTCATATTTGAATGCAAATCTACCAGACAAAAAGTTAACTTCATAAATCAGCAAAGAATGCTGTGTAGCTCCTCTTCGAGTAAAAAGGGGTGAGGAAGAATTTTCTTGAAGGATCTTGGTTAATAGGTGTGATAACATTTTCTCCCATATCTCCTCTTTAAATGTAGACCTCTCCTTTCCCTGAACAGGCTTTCATTACATTCTGTGACTCTGTGAATAAAACAGAGTTATCAGCTTCCTCTTTCGCGTAGGCTACTGCGGTGTTAAGAGAAGCTTAAGTAGGTTTTTGCTTATCATTCAGCTGACATGAACATACAGCACGTAGTCCTGTCCTAGAAGGATATCGTAACTGGCAGCCAGATGTAGTAAGTGGCAACAGGTTTTTTGAGGAAGAAATGAACAGACTTTGGTAATGACAAGGATCTTGGTCAGAGATTGCTCAAGGAACTTCCCTTGTTTAAAAAAAAATTGTTGCAAAACTATTGTTGGTACAGTAGAACTGCCAGACTGGATAATCTAGTTTTATAGATTTACAGTTTTATTTCTTTTTTTTCTCTCTGTTGCTAACTGTGTATTACTGTGCATCTTACATACATGAGGTATGTTCACTTGCTTTTTGCAACGCAGTTATTGCCTATTAGTTTATTTCAGTTTAATAGAACACCACACAAGAGCAAATGAAAGAAATAATTAGTGGTAGTTACCATGGTCACAAGACGCTTCATGAGTTAACTAAGTTACGTGTACCTGGAACAAGGGCCCGTACATATAAATTGGTGAACTAATTTGTAACTGGAGGGGCTTTGTTTATTCTTGCAAAACTATTTATTTGTTGGTGGTCACGCTGTGGGTGGGAAGCCCAACAAAGAGGCAACAGTGTTGGAAACTAATAGCCCATGAAAGTCCTCACCATCTTGCTGTGCTGAATCCCTGGGGAGGTTTAATAGTGCAGAATTCTGTGTTAATATTAGCGTATAGACACAATTGCTGAGTGCACTCTCTCTGTTGACAATATGCCTGTGTTGTTACAGAGAATGACCTGGTGGGAAGTTGCATGCGTTGCAAGCAGTGTTCTTGCAGGTGCCATTTTACCCTGATTATCAGACAGTGAACCATGTGTTGTAGTTCATGTGCTTTGAGAAGTTGTGGAGGTCACCTGGAGTGCTGCAGCAGCATTCATGAGGGAGAGAACATTTTAGTACTGCACTTAAGCAGCAAGGTATTTAACAAAGGGCAATTCATATACATTTTATTTTCATTGGGGGAAAAACAAAGCAGCGTTCATTATCAGGCAGTACTTAAACAAACATGAAAATCTTGCCATGTGTGGTTTGTTTTAATTTAGCACTGAAGCTTATCTTAGGTGTGCAGAGTAAATGAGCCAGTGGTTATCACCACAATAATGTGTTTGGGTTTCCTGCCTTCATGTAGTGCTGGCAAGAAAGGCAGTCTGAATACTTGTGCTCCCCATAAAGCAGGGGAAGAAATGGGTCAGTTAGTAGTAGGACTCTGTGGTAGTTCAGAAATAAAGCTGCTTTCCCTGCAGTTATAGCAAGGTTGTGGACTTGCTGGTTGAGGGTGCTTAATACCTTAATTTTCTTTTGGCTTCAATGGGTTCTACTGCCTGACAGCTCTCAGGGTTTTTCAGTGGGCAGGTAACCGATGCTGCTCATTCCCTGGGCCTTGGAAAGCTGGAATGTGGTTGGAAAGTTCACAGAAAGAACCCACACTCCTTCTCCCCTCAAATTTCCAGGAGGCTGTGGCCCCACAAACACACGTTGTATTGAAGGGCACATTGTTTGTGAAAACACATTGTTTGAAAGGGTGTTGGAAGAGTGTGGCACACGTTTAGGATCAGAGACTAAATAAGGCTCTCGGTGCCATCTCTGATCAACAGAAGGAGCTGTCACTTCTAAGTGACAGAGTGATAGGCTTCCATGTTTTCTTCCCTTGCCACTGGCAAGATACTTAGTGAGCATCCTCAGTAAGATTACTTGGGATGAAATCTCTTCCCGAGAATTGCTGGAAATTAAACTTTGGTCATTTCCTATAGACCTCTGAAAGGTACAGGGGTGCAGCATTTTAGGTTTGCTTTTACATGCAGGTTGGAAAGTAGACAGTGATAGAGATGGTGACAGGAAACCTGTTGGCGAGACAGGATCTAGAGAATGCTTTTCTCCTTGATATTGGACTTTATATTCATAATTCTGATTTCAGTGTGAGCTTTCAGGATGTGATTTTAAGACTGTCCTGTTCCCTCACATCTTTGTAAAAATCATCCTGTACATCTTTGTTAACTCAAGAGCTTAGGTTAGTGAGCAGAATACTGAACATTGAGATGTTAAGAACGTAGTGTTTCAAACTGTACTCTTGGACAGAGCATTTCTCTGTTCTTCTGATAGGCACTTCTGTGTGTCCTTCTGTACTGCTCAAAGCGATCTCTTTCTTTTCATTCACCAGCTCCTTAAAAACTTTCCCCTTAAGAACTAATTCAAAGTAATTTGCCAGAAGAACATGTAATATATACAGATTTGGGTCTGGATTTAAAGCCAGCAGAAATTTTGTTATGATCTTCAGTTCTCTGTAGCGAGGAAAAAACGGTGGCACACAATCAGTTTTAAAGGTTTTGATTTCTGATATCTATGGACTTCAGTGGGCTAGTCATGGTAAGGCAAAGGTATAAAGGCTGTGTCAGTGGTATGCAATAGGTGGATTTTAAAGGGCAAATCTGAGATCTGTAGGTCCTGCTCGAATAACAGTGGTTATTCCCAGGCAAGAAGAAGTACCTTTGTGCATAGTTGTAAATTCGTAAGGATTGTCAGAACAGTTGGGGAGCAGTACTCTTCTCAGCACATTCCGAGGGTGGTCTGGCAGTATCTCTAACCTCACTGCCATTGCGACAGCGGGGGAGGATGACATGATTTTAAATTGGCCTGTTAGCCCAAATCTTCTGGTAGGGCCTCAGGTCAGGAAACGGTTGTTTGCAGCTCATTCCAGTGGGACAGCGACTCACTGTTCATGTTTCAGAATCTCCCACTTCTCCTTTTCAGTCACTGGTTCTACCTAAGGGCCATTACCGTCATGAAAATACGCAGATAGAGCTGTGCATTAAAAAAGACTTGGTTTTGGTCAAAGGGCAAATTTTATCTTATCATGGGTTTGTGAAATATGGACAGAAGTCAAATGCATTATATTTAGCATTATGGTTATAGTTTCAAAAATTGTTTGTATGGCTTTTTTTCCATAGATGTATGCAAAACATGGGTTAGAATTATTTCCAGATATCTGAAACTTGTCGTATACTTCTGCCAACTCAGAAGCAAATGATACAGCACAAATATTTTTTGGCCGTGATACAACCAAAATTGCGTTGGGACATCCGCCTGCTGCCAGGTCAAAATGCTAATTTCAGGGAAGCGTAACTGAGCCAAATAATGTGCTAAATTACTGGACAGCCATTATGTTAACAGGTTTCTAATAACTGCTGTACTTGTGAATAAACTCTTAAGAGTTCTAGAATAAATCTTTATAATCTAGGATCAATGGCCTTTTAATTCCTTTTTTCTTGACACAGTTATTTTACAAATCCTTCTATTAACTTGTAAAAATGAAAGCTTTTCTGTTCTTAGAGGATAACTTTTTAAGTCCCGCAATGACAGGGAGAGGTATCATCAGTCTTCTAATGGCATTTCTATTCTACTGATGCCCTTGGCACTCTGTGTGCTTGTGGGCATTAATATCCGTTGCTGAATTAATTTAATGATGAGTATCACTGGCAATAATTTTACTACTAGTGTGTGCATGTGCTTATTTACCCACAGGTGTGTATTACCAGATCAAAAAGCCAAAGCTAGCGTGTATTGAATTGTAGGATTTTGATGTAGGAATCGTTAACACACTGCTTCAGTGGAGGCTGCAGGAAAAACGAATTGAAATCCCATGAAAATATCACTGGAAAACTGCATCTTGCCTCCAGCACTGGCGATATTTGCAGGATGGTGTCCTGCTTCCTAACTCACCCCCAGCCCCCCGCTCCATAGCTGTTTTGATGTCTTTGTTTTCTTAGTCTAGAAACTGGAAAGCTTTTGGACAGGGTATCATACCAAGAGCTTTATGCAGGATGTTGCACGAGGTTGGCTTTTCCTCTGCTGCAGGGAATGGAAGCTTAAGGGAGAGGCAGATGCATTTTTATCACGTTTTCTCTGTAAA